AAGAGCTGCAACCCTTCAGCTCAAATGAATCAGATAGAAAAGGACAGGGCCAAGCCTCCTGAAGGGAGGGGGGCAGTCCCACAGGCAGTTGGATTGGGGTAGATGATGAACTCTTCTATGTGTACATTCAGTTTTCCATGAAGAGGCTTCTGCTGCCATAAGATGGAAAACACAATTGTCCTTGTAGGTGGGTCATCTCTGTACTGGTAAGAAAACTATGTAGATCAATGGCCCCCAACCTTTTGGGCACCAGGGACTAGTTCAACGAAGAGAGGTTTTTTTCGCCAACTGGGGTGGTGGTGGTTTCGCATGCTGCCTGCATCTCATGGATGGGGCTTCACTTGTTTGCGTGACCCAGTTTCTGGCATGACATGGCCCGGTGGCGGTCCACGGACCAGGGGTTAATAACCCCTGATGTAGATAAAACCAAAGATGGGAGAAGAGAGTAACAATTGGATACAAATCCAGTCAGGAAGTGTCATACAGAATGGTCATTTTCTCAAGCAAAATCTGTGAAACATTTTCAATTTATTTAGATAGAAATGCCTTACTCAAGGTTCTCACATCTAACATGATATCAATGTACCTTTTTCATTAGCAAATAAGATCTTTGAATTCATCTTATTTTTCTGATTACTTTCTATACTTGGACCAACACAAACCCACAACTTCTTTGCACCTAAATGTAGCAGTTTTCTTGTTGATCCAGCTCTGATTTCCAATATTAATTCATCATTCTGTGATTAAGCAAAATATGATATGGCATCTGAAGTCAGTGAGTTCAGATGCCATATCATATTTTGCTTAATCATCTTCTCTCAGTTACACTGTGATAAGGCCCTACCGATAATTCTTAATTTAATGTTTTTTTAATAAGAACAGCCAAGTTCATTCCCGCATGTTCTAATTACTGCTGGCTTCTTAAAATTATTTACTGTTAATTCATCATCTCTCGAATGATACATACACATGAGGTAAATTGCAAACTATCAGTAAATGACATAAGTTGTATATTTTTATTGCAAGTTAAACTGATGAGCATGAGATATTAGCCTTTCCCCTTTTATGATCTAACTTAAGTGCAGATTTAATCTACAGTATATGGGAGAGGCTTGCTTCAGATATTTCCCATAATATAATTTTTGACTTGTTGTCTAGATACAGCACTCTATGGATGTATCCTATCAAGAATGAGTTGTTTTTTGCCATTGTAAATGAAATAATAAAATATCCAAGCACTGCTTGCACATGTGAAGCCCGTATTAGTTTTATAGAGAAATGCATCTATTACCGTAATTGTTGTGAGCAAATTCCCCCCACCTACTTAGGCACATAAAAATAAGCAATCGGTAGGAAGTTACAGAACAGGAAAATGTATAAATACGCCTCTATACAAATAAATAAATAAATAAATAAAAATGGGAGGGGGGATCCTTGAGACAAAAATATCCCAAGTTAAACCCTTAAATTACCCAGTTTGGTGCACTGATTAAGACACCAGGCTAGAAACCAGGAGACTTGGGAGTTCTAGTTCTTGCTTTAGGCCAGGGGTAGTCAACCTTGGCTCTTTTATGACTCGTGGACTTCAATTCCCAGAATTCCTGAGCCAGCTTAGCTGGCTCAGGAATTCTGGGAGTTGAAGTCCACGAGTCATAAAAGAGCCAAGGTTGACTACCCCTGTTTTAGGCAAAAAATCAACTGGATAGCCTTGGGCCAATTACTCTCTCTCCTTCTGGAAAGCAAGCAAGGGCAAACCATCTCCGGAAACCTTGCCAAGAAAATTGAAGGGACTGGTCCGGACAGTTGCCTAGTGTCAACTCTAACTGAACACACACACACACACACACCCGTAAAACAAAACAAAACAAGAAAATACAACACACGCACATATCCTCAGATATATTTTTGTCGCCTAAGCACATGAATGCCAAAACTGAAGATCGGTTGACTCTAGCCATGAGATTGGATGAGGGAGGAAGGAAGGAAGGAAGGAAGGAAAGCACGGAAGAAAGCAAGAAAGGACGGAGGGAGGAGAAGGAGGTAGAGAGAAGTGGGTAGGAAGAAAGGAAGCAAGAAGGAAAGGGGGGAAAGGAAGAGAGAGGGGGGGAAAAAGAGAGAGGAGCTAGCAGTGTCAGGGTCATTGAGAGTCGCTTCTAAGAGGGGGAAAATTCTTTGCTGGTACCGGCAGCACCGGCGTGACTGGCAGACGTGCCACCGATGAAGCGTTCCCGACTGAACCGCCTCCGTCCTAGCAGCCAGCCATTAGACAGGGAGAGAACGAAGCAGGACTCCTTGCAGCGGAGACCTCCGCGAACCTCCCGCCGACTCCGCGCACTGCCAGCGCCGCCCAGCAGTTCACGTGAGCGCCGGAGTCATCTGACGAAGAGGAAGGCCGAGGGGAGCTCGGGCGCTTCGGTGCTCTCAGGGACGGCCATGCTCTCCCGCTTGCTGCGGGAGCACCAGGCCAAGCAGAGCGAGCGGAAGGAGCTGCAAGGTGAGCGGCCGGGGGAGCCTCGGGAAAAAGCCTGGCTCCGGATGCCCAGCCTCTCTCCTCTTCCCCCCCCCAAAAAAAACGCCACCTTTTAACTCTTCTTGGAGCCAAAGGTTGTGGGGAAAGGAGGGCCTGGCTGGCCGGGGTAGGAGGCGCGGCGAAGGAAACCGTGGCTTTCGATGCAGGAGTGGCTCGAAGCGTTTCGGGGCTCGAAGCGTAATAAAAAAAAAACAAACCGGCTTTTCGGAAGGTATAATTGGAGTGTGGCTGCGGCTGTATTCTCACGACACAAGCCTTCAGACGAGCAAACTACCTTGGAACCTGACGCCTGGGAGAATCTCCCCCGCTTCCCCCCAGGATTGATAGTTGTGTGTGGTGTGAACTACGGGCTAACCTGATACTGCCTGGCCAGAGTCGCTCTGGAGAGTGAGAAGGGCGGCGTATTTAATAAATAAATGCAGGGACTTAACGACCACAATTGAGCCCAAAATCTCTGTTGTTAAGTGAGACATTTGTTGAGTTTGGCCCCACTTTATGACCTTTCCTGCCACCGTTGTTTAAGGGAATCTCTGCGGTTGATAAAGTTAGTAACCCGGTTGTTAAGTGAATCTGGCTTCCCCATTGACTTTGCTTATCAGAAGGTTGCAAAAGCTGATCACATGACCATGGGACACAGCTACAGTCGTAAGTATGAACCAGTTGCCGGTTTGTTCACGTGATCGTGGGGATGCGGCAAAGGTCGTAACTGAAAAACAGTCATAAGTCACTTTTTTTTCACTGCCGTTGTAACCATTGTAATGGTCACTAAATGAGCTGTTGTAAGTCAAGGACTACCTGTACTCGAACACCACAGCAAACATTTCGAAGGCATCAACTGCTTAAATTTCGCAGCCTCTGGACCTCTTCTTGTCTGGAAGGAGGCTAAAACCATGTGCAAAAATAGAGCAGCCAACAGGTCGAGGGGCAGAGAGGAAAGGCAGAAAGGAGCTGTGAGTAGTGGGCTGCATCTTGTAGGAGGCTTGCGAAAGGAATGGCAGTGCTGGCAGCTAAGCCAATTCTGTCTTCTTGACTTGTAGCAGTTTGGGACTTCCAGGGAGATGAATGGATTTAGTTATTAAATTTTTATGCCACTCATCTCACTGATCTAGTGACTGAATTGCACTGCCATCTTCACTAAATAAAAGCCCCAGCCCTCAAACTCCTTGTTGGCAGAAGCGAGGTAATGCATCCACTGGTGGCAGAACTACCAATACACAACTGGTAAATGTTTGGTAAGTTTGGTCTGGTAGTTTTAAGGCCTCAGGCTAGAAACCAGGAAGCTGTGAGTTCTAGTCCCCACTTAGCCATGGAAGCCAGCTGGGTGACTTTGGGCTTGTCACTTTTTCTCAGACCAACCCATCTCACACGGTGGTTGTTGTGGGTAAAATAGGAAGAGGATGGAGTAGTAGAAATGTTCACCACCTTGAATTATTTATAATAAACATAAAGTTGGGATAAAAATAAAATAAGCGGGGTTTTTTTTCCAGTTTAAAGCAGCATTCCATCTAGCGTAAGGCTACAGACAGTCCTCAATGTATGGCCACAATTGAGCACAACATTTTTGTGGCTAAGCGAGACAAGTGAGTTTTGCTTCATATTACAACCTTTTTGCCACCGCTGTTAAATGAATCACTGCAGTGGTTAAGTTAGTAACCTGGTTGTTAAGTGAATCTGGCTTCCCCATTTGCTTGTCAGTAGGTCTCAAAAGGTGATCACATGACACCCCCCAGGACATTGCAACCGTCATAAATATGAGCCAATTGCCAAGCGTCTGAATTTTGCTCACGTGACTGTGGGGATTACAAAAGTTGTAAGTGTGAAAAATGGTCATAAGTCACTTTTTTCAGTGCCATTGCAACTTCAAACCGTCACTAAATGGTTGTAAATCGGGGACTACTTACAGTATAGTCTTCTCACCAAAGACTCTGAAAAAAGTTTTAAAAATAGTCTGCTCTCTTTCAAATTCATGTTTATAAGGAGACTGTGTGATCAGAACAGATGCTTGTAGCATTCTGAAATGATAAACAATAGGGCCCATCCCAACCCCTGATTGTATAAACCAGGGGTCCCCAACCCC